ATGTACACGTGGGCTGGCCTTCGGGCCACTCTCAGGCCCCATTTGCTCTGTCGTCTTCAAAATACATGCATTCAACCCCATTTATGCCTTCTTCCATCCTATGGGAAGTCTCGGGTCGCTATAGTTCATTGCTTCGAGACTTTCCGTTCTGTAATCCATGGCTAATTTTTGACTCGATTTCTTGAAGAAGGATCAGTTTACATCGCAAAAATAAGAGCTCGCTCCTAGCCATCATCAATTTATCCATAAACCATCGCTAACACGGGTTTTGACGGTAACAGGAGGTCTCATATCCATATTCGAACTGTAAATTGTTTGCGCTTACGTTGCAACTGACTACTTTACTAAAAATTTCCAAATGATTCACTCTTAATAAAGCAGTCCTTTGTTCATTTTATTGCAGATATCTGTGTCGTCTACTTGGCAGCCTGCGTGCTGAGTTGCATTTAAGTCCTGTCAATATCCCAGTTTTCCTTTTTTTGAATATCTGTTTCCTTTAATCCATTCACTAAATAATTGATTTCAGAATGCTGCAAAAGCAGGTCATATCTTTACATTTTTGTTGCGCATACTTCTTGTGCGTAAAATATGGGCATCCGTCATCCTTAGCTGTCGTGTACTATGTCAGTTATTTAAATAAACCCTGTTGTGAGTAGCGAATACTGTGCGTTTACCTTGATTATAAGCAAACACCAGTTTTACGACGAGGTTTGATATTTATTACTCGCAGTACATGGCAACATAGCATTAAGCGCAACAGAAATCGGAATGTAAAACTGCAATAAGTATTTTAACTCTTTGTACTTCTTTGTACTATTTTGTTGCGGGACTAATCAATTTCGTTATTTGAATGCTTCACTTGGATACCTTCACATTCAGTCGTTATACTTAAAGCCGCAGGGATAGGCCTATCCGCGGCTGGATGATGCCACTGTAGGTTCGAATTGCGTTGTCTATTTGCCTATCATAGACGTTCTCTAGGCCGGCTTTGGTCGGGATTCAAAAATGCGTACAATGAAATAAACCCAGCTACACTTACTGGAGCGAATGATATAATCATTGTGGAGGATAATCATGGTAATTTCAGGTGTGGACCGTTCCATGTTCGATTTGGCAAAATGGGTGCAATTAATGCGACTGATAAGATTGTCGAGATTTACATCAATGGTCAGCAAGCTGAGAGTCTGCATATGCGTTTGGGTAGGGCTGGTAGTGGATATTTTGTTGATGATGTTGAATCGCTCTTTCTTGATAGCGATTCGGATTGTCAGTCAGTTGGAGGATTTTTTGGTTCAGAAAAGCCAATTGTACGTGTACGTTCAGCTGAGGCTGTTAACGGCAAAAGTTTAAACCCACATAAGCATCGTCGACGTGTTAAAAAGTCGAGGAAAGACTTGCCGATCGTCGAGACACAACCAAACTCAGGTGAAGATGTCAATTATCATTCCTCTTCTCCCACCTCTCCTGCATACATGTCGGATAGTGAAATGGGAAATTGCTCCCTTGAACTGGCCGAAGTTTGTGACGATATGGATTCAAGAAGTTATGGTGGCAGTTCAAATGTGGGGGATATTGTACAAGTTGCTGCTGCTGATGCAGTCCCGCAGAGTTTTCAGGCTTCTGATCAAAGAGGGGTTTACTTGGAAGATCTTATGACGTCGTCGATTGACGAAAGCGTTAAACGAGCTTATTTGTATGTCAGAAAATCCTGTGAACGCATAAATGAAGGTCGGAAGGTTACTGATGCCGGGTACAAGTCAGATTCAGAGAACGCTTCTTACCTGAAGTTTGATTCTTCAACTAACTTGGAACTCAAAATTTCATTGTGTGGAGGTCTTTCTGCGGATGGTCAAGTCGACCACGATCACTTTTGCTCGCATTTGGTGACATTCGAAGAGTTTTCCAAAGATCCTGCTGGCGTCATTGCAGACCCCAACCTAGTCCTTCTATTTAATGGAAAATTTTATAATTGGAATACTGCTGCCCCTTTAATATTGAGTCGTGTTTGTTTTCAAGCTGAATTACCTTATGGCTCTATTCTTCGACTTGAAGAATCTTTTATGCCTAAGAAACAGTCACGCCGCAGAGCTTGGTTCACATGGGGCGCCAGTGGTTCAGAGCCACAGTCCACTGGAAGTATGGAGACGAAAAAAACGTCCGCTGTTTCCTTGGGCGAGGGCTGCCAAGTTCTTCAACGTAGAATTACTCTTACTTCAAGAGAAGTTGAGTGCCTTGGTCTAAGGCCAGGTGCGAATAACGTTGAGTTTCGCATAGTCACCAAGTATCAGGGTACCGCTACCTGCACGGCACGAATTTATCTTTGGCGGTCGGACGATAAAGTGGTTGTTTCCGACGTCGACGGAACTATAACCCGTTCCGACCTTCTTGGCCACGTTCTTCCTGTACTGGGGCGTGATTGGAGCCACGAAGGTGTCGCTGAATTGTATTCCAGAGCAGCTGACAACGGTTACAAATTTATTTACCTCTCTGCTAGAGCCATCGGTGAAGCAAGCTTAACACGGAGTTATATTGATCAGGTCTGTCAACGTGGTAAATATCGCCTTCCAAACGGACCGATTCTTCTGTCGCCTACATCCCTGCTTGATGCATTTCATCGTGAAGTAATCGCTCGAACGCCAGAGCTGTTCAAAATTGAGTGTCTTAGAGAAGTTAAGGAACTGTTTGGACCAGACTCCAACCCTTTCTACGCTGCATTTGGCAACCGCGTCAATGATGTGAAGGCCTATGTTGAGTCTGGTTTTGAACTAGGTCGAATTTATACGGTAAACTCAGGAGGTGAACTTCGAAATGAACGTCTGCCCTCCGTCAGCAAATCTTTTGGTGACATGGTCAACCTTGCTGACCACCTTTTCCCTTGTATTTCATCAAGATTAGTCGAATCGGATGCAATAGAACCCAACGGGGATGCCTCATCCATTTGCAATATCCCCACTCCGGATGTAGATATGTCTCTTTTTTCATCTTTTTCTTATTGGCGTGAAATCATTCCTTCCGAAACATCGACCTGCTCCTAAATACAATGGACTGTATTTGCTCTACGTGCATTTATTGCGACGAGGAAGATTTACTTTGATTTTTTGGAGTTTGTTACTTTGTTAGTTGGGTATCAATAAATGCTATTTTCCTAAGCACTTACTCCTCTGCCTAACGGCTGCTTGTCGATCACTCCAATCGAGCGGCTCATCCTTCATCAGGTGTCAAATCCAAAACTGGAAAGCGAGTTTGCGCGGGCAACAGCGTATGTGCCGAAGATCGCGGACTCACTTTCCTCCGACGATCTCCTTTACCTCTATTCAAGGTACAAACAGGTACGTCTCCTATCCGTGATCCTGTTAGTTGTGTCTGAGGGAAGAGTTAACTACACAAAAGCCCTTGGTAAGCTAGCCTTTTGCGATCGGAAACGGTGAGTGATTCGACTCGTAAAACTATCACACCATTGGGTGCCATAGACGTATCACTACCAAGTTTTAATAAACATCTCTTCTTCATTGCCTTTTACAAGATTTACATTGATTACTCTGGAAGCAGTGCTCATTATCTTTGCTTTACATTAATGGGCTACTAAGGTCAGGATAAGATCGTTTTTCTGTTCTGGCGATTTAGGTAGCAGTATCACAGTCTCTATTCATACATCTAGAACGAATGTAGTTGCTTCCACCCGTGGCATTATCACTATTTGGCATTATTCATTCTGCCTTGAACGTTATAGTGCCGAAGAATTGGGATAACATAATTGTCTTCCCACATATCTTATGACTTTCTTTGGAATTGTTTTAGTAAATTGATGTAACCGGATTTAGCTCAGCTTTAATGGTGTTAAAGCCGTAGATTTATACAGTTCTAATGTGTGACATAAACACTCATGATAATCTTTGACAGTACGGTCGGTGTATTCAGTGACTTCGCTTTTAAGTAAATCGTTGGTGGTAGCATCACATTCACCTTGACGAACCTTTCGAAACAAACTACCAAAAGTCTAAAAATCTTTCAAGTTCGTTCGTTGGTGAATTGAATAGCAATAATTTTGCCTGAATGAGATTCAAGCGAATTCGCCTTCGATTTCTATAATTCCATTTTGCCAAGTGGCACTGGCGCAGTGGCGATCACAATTGACCCTTGCCTAACACTTAAACATCTTTGGGCTTTATTCCTTCGAAAAGCTGAATATTAATGCGTTAGCATGTCTAGATTCTCGGGTTGCTATTTTTACTGAAT